ATTCAGTTTTCAAAGCTGAACAAGGATATGGCAGTTTAAATAATTCAAGTTGGTGCGAACCATGAATGATTCAACTTTATAACAAATCGGCGAAAAATCGAGTTCTTGACACCCTTCAAGTTTTTTTTGATTTTTACGATAGAAAGAAGCATCGAAAATTTTCAGGGAACACATATTCTTGATCGCCGTAAAATTCTCTATCGAATGGTGTCTGAAACATCGAAAAAAAAATTTTTGCTCGAATTTTGCTTTGCGTGCACCTTATAAAACTGTCAATTTTCATTCGATTTCTTTGAGTGACATTTCATCGAAAGAGCGTGAAAAATTGAACCAAAATCTGATATTTGAAAAGAATTAGAGTTAAAATAGTAGTCGGAAAAAAGGATTTTACTGGAATTTTGAGGGTTTGAAAAACCGAGGCTTTTGTGGAATGGTCAAGGAAACGGTCAGTTAACGGTCACCGTTTACTGATCGTTAACGCTCAGCTTACTGACAGTTTTTGAAACGTTTCTTTTCGTTAAGTGTAGACGAATATTAGATTGGCTCTAATAACAAACTGATCCTAGTGATAATATCAATGAATATACATTCTCTGAAAGTCCAAGCGTGAATGTTTTCTTCACACACAGCAAACGTTACCTTATCGATAATACCCACAGACGAACTATATAACAACAGCCTCTCCCCTTTATTTTGAACCAAGTATTAGTTGCATATCGACACATAATTGAGAAATACATGCAGAGGAATAGAAAACTTCATCCAAGATAGAAAATTTCTTGACTGAAAGTCTCAGAGCTTATTATTAACTTATTAAAAACAGATCGAAAATAGTTCAACATTATGACAAGAAAATCCGAGGAGGGTTTACACGAGACATTACAGAATCAAAACTGCTGTGTACTCGCATTGAATCCTTTCTCTTTGATGTATGAGTTCTTCCGCAAAAATATGTCTTTTTCCATTTGCAGATAAAGATTGTGAGGTCCTAAAGGCATCGCAGGACTGATAAAAAACTCAACAACTGTTTACATCATGTTCTCGAAGAAAAGTCCGGGTAAAACATAATGTAATCAAACCTGAAAAAGCTATACTCATTTTTAACGCCGAGGTATCAGTTAAATGCATGATAACTATCCAAAAAGCAGGTTCTATTCTTGATTTCTTTCACTGGTCAGGAAAAAAAACAGATTCTGACCAAGCAAACAGGACAAGGACTTGTTTACCTACAGGTTCCTAATCAGTGGTGCACTGGAAATGCATTCTTTAAAGAGCGCGTTTGAACGGTACAAAAAGAACTCGTTCATTCAATGCATTCAATAACAACACGTTGTTAGGTGAGAGGAATGCGTCCTTAGAAAGAGAAGAACGCGTTTTTGATTGTTCCAAATCAAAAGATCAGAATGTGGTGGTTGATGTGCTTCTGCTTTTTATCGTAAAACTGTCTCGATCATATGTCCGTATTTACTATCTCCTCTCCCTTCGCTCCTGTTCATGAATTACCGAATTCTTTTAAATCTCTTAGGATCAATAAGAGTTGAAACTAAGATTTTAGTAGTGTAAGTAGTAGTAATTGAGAGGGGTAAAACAAAAAAAACTTATTGAAATCGGATGACTGGAATAGAAGATCTAAGCTTGGCCCTGAATTCCTCTGAAACGGTACAAATGACTTGCAATTCTCTCATATGCGCGTATATGTCGTATACAACGGTCATTCTTTCTTTTTTCGAAAATATTGTTATATAGAATACATACGTGACGTATATATATAGAATACATACGTGACGTATATATACACAAACTCATATATTGAACTGTTTATATACGTCAGATCTGTATTCTATATAACAATATTTTCGAAAAAAGGAAGAATGACTGTTGTGTATGACATATAAGCACGCCGTCTTTTCTTAAAAGAGTCAAGCGGCTTATCCAGCTAACGGTCCTCTTTTTTCGTTCTTTTTCAAAAAACTATTACAATAAAGGTACAAACTAATCTAAAATAGCAACTAGGTAATTAAGTAGATTAAATATTTCTCTACAAACTGAAAAGTGTCTCGGCTCTGAACGTTGATCCGTTATGAAAATACAGCTGTTGTACAAACAGCCCAAAAAATCGATTGTGGGGCTATTTGAAAAACGTGTCTAAGAGAGTGAAGACGAGCTGGTGAAAATTGAACAAGTGTACCAGTTTGTAGAAAATTATTTGCTCTGCAAGATGCGATAGCTTTTTAAGTTCAAAACTATTCTAATTAATATGCATTAATCAAAGAAAAACTAGAAAAACCGTAACGCTGGTACACTTTTGACCATTTTTTGTCACAGCGTTAATGTATTTTAATAACGCAAAAACGTTTAGAGTCGAGACACTTTTCATTTTGTAGAGAAATATTTAATCTACTTAATTACCTAGTTGCTATTTTAGATTAGTTTGTACCTTTATTGTAATAGTTTTATGAAAAAGAGCGAAAAAAGGGGACCGTTAGCTGGACAAGCTGCAAGCCCCCTTTACATTCTTGTTTTTCTTCTTTTGTATGTTATGTTTTAGATTTAACACAGAGAGCGTTTGAACTAATTGTTAACATCGGTTCCGTTTTACTACTTATTAGAATTTAGCGTTAAAAAGAAATTGGCGGTCGTATGTCAATTGTAGAGCTTTTCACGCTGCATCTATTGGTGTTTTAGTTTTTAAACAATATTATGGTAGTTTTCGCTAATGAATAGTAATATGTTTTCCTTCTGGTACTTAGTGTTAATTAATATAGCAGAAAAAATGACAGATTTTCCAGTAAAAATGATCAACTTTTTCATGTTTAAGTTTAACAAAAATGAATAAGACACTATTTTTTGTAAACAATAATAATATTTATTTTCGTAATAACCTATGTGCTTTATCTCTATCTTTATCAACTTAACAGAAACTAATCAAATTAACTAATTGAAAATGAACAAATATAGAGAGACTTGTGAACAAAGAAAATAAATAGAATAGAGAATATTGTTTATGATTCACAAAGACTTGTACTTAATCGAACATAATGTAGAATAAATGGTGCAAATGACTGATCAAAATTGTCCACATTAATTTGCCCAATTAGTTTACCTAAAACATAAAAAATAAGAAATATTTGGTCAAAACAATTGAAGATGATCATTTACCGATTTTCCACAAAAATTTCTTTAAAAACTGAACAGCGGATGAATCATTTAATATTTTATTTTGTATAAATTCGAACGTTTTTTTTTCAAATGCCATTTGAGCTAATACATCAGCCAATTGATCCAAAAGTATATTATCTTCTACTCGAACAGCTGTAACACAAATCATTTCCATAAACTCATTATCATCGAAAATATTGTCTTTTAAAGCCTTGCATAGAAGTTCGAGACCATTATCTGTTATCGTTAATTGACCTAATAAATCAGTTATCATTTTAACCATGTTGTGTCGAGCCTAGAATAAACGTTAAAATAATTCTAAGGAAATATAATAAGTGTTTTCTAAAAATACTATTGAATTATAAAAAATTCTATTGAACATTATTAAGTTAACAATAACTTGTATTTCAATCTCACTATTTGTCTATCTTTTCTTGCATTAATTCAATTTGATTTTTCATCTATAAATATGCTTTCAAATATTTTTCTCATTTTCGCTTCGATACATACCAGATAAATATATTAAACTGAATAAAATCGATAAATCGATGATTCTTGCTCTTTTCTTATGTGTTATAGGACTGTGTTTATATACTATCTTCGGTTATGATTTCATATCAAAAGGAACCAATGAAAAAAAAGCAAATCAGTCATAGTCAGTCATTGAATGAGATTTATTCCAAAATGATAGGAAAAGGATGAATAAATTAAATTTTAGTCCGCGACGATTATACAAATGAAAGTAGAATGAAATAATTGTTATTCATCGGATGACCGCTCTATTATCGCAATTTATTACATGTCAATGGTCAAATATGTTCGACCGGCCAATATAGATGTACATCATTATATACAGAGACATGATAAAATCTTTTAAAAACCAACAAACTAGAATTAGGTGTAGGAAATTTAAATGACTATTTGAGAACGATTGTGAACAAATATAGTTATTCCTATGTAGTCATGCACAATATCTTTTTAAAAAGGTAAGAAAACGTAAAACTATCGGACGTTGTCATTTTTGTTGACTGTCGTCTCAAATTTTGTTCACTATAAAAGATACTCACTTCATCTTTTTGTTTTATTTGAACAATATAGTCCAATAACGACGACGAATATTGATCTAAAAAAGTCCAAAACAATTCGATAGAAAAAGATATAAGAGTTCCCTTGGTATAACCACGACCTATGGCAAAGTCTGTTGTGGTCAGATGAAGCCTCTAGACATTGATTTTCGACTTGAACGACACACCATTAGAAAGAGCGCTGCTTAATCTATCTCCAGTGTAAATAGCTTATTGGCTTAAGGTTTCTAGGTGTACCTTT